AAAGTTCTTTTCAATGGAAAATGGAAAATGTATCCAGGCAAATGTGGACAGATTTATGCTTATTCCACATGTTCACAAATGTGTAGAAAAGTAACAAGTGTCAAAATGTCTAAAACATCTTTTTCTTTTGTGCAAATGTATACACACAGGTAAATATCATTAAATATGTGGATGAACTCATTTGGAATATATTTAGCATGTATATAAAACAAAATATGTGTGTATAAAATAACAACATCTATTGATATATGTGAAATTAGATAATTTAATGTATATCAGGGTGAACAGAATTTTTGTCAATGCATTTGCTCAATAGATATTTAAAGCAATAATTATTGTATCAAAAATCTTACAAGTCCATAATAATTATTGAAGATCAACTCAGTTTCATGATGATTCACTCTTTTTGATCCAGATCAGAAAATATATCCAAAGTAGCAGATATTGAATGCTACAATCAGCACCTGACAATTATATCACATGGACTAATAAAAAGGGAAAAATATGTATATTTATTGTTAATATTTATATATATGCTATGTCCTGAGATATATAAACTGAATGAGGTTGTTGCATCCTCATATGTCGAAATCAACGGTAGAGTCCATCATCATCATATATATATATATATATATATATATATGATGAACGACACAGGCGTGCCCCAAAATTTCGGACTAATAACATTAATCTCCATGCTTCATTTCTGTCTTGTGATTAAGAATTAACATATAATAAATTCTTTTCACACTGATTACATTGGTACCTTTCCCTTGTTTTATTAACCAACCTATCTATTTTAAATAATACAAGAACACACGTGGACTCTTCCTCTAAATTTATATATATATATATATATATATATATATATATAAATTTAATGAAAACCAGACCACTTTAAGGTACCATTACAATAATTTATTTCACCAAAATCCTTTTTAAAGGATTTCGGATCATCAGGTAAACACTTCCAACAATGAAATTAACATTGGAATTAACCTACCTTGCACTTGGAGATGGATATATATATATATATATAACCCACCTTGCACTTGGAAATGGATATATATATATATATATATATATATATATATATATATAATGAATGACAAATTGAGAAAAAGTTTTTATGTGATGTGTTTTGTTCTTTCTTTAGGACTTTATCAGACTAAATTTGTGGGATATCTAATAACAAAAAGTGATGGACGCAAAGAAAAAGAATTAAATTTTAAATTCCCAGCATCCCTTGTTCATGTGTAGTTACACCAAAGAAACAAATTTAGTTTGATGAAGTCCTAAAGGACAAAAAGTGTCACATGAAAACTTTTTCCCACTTTTGTCTTACATTTCCACCCTAATTACATACATACATATATATATATATATATATATATATATATATATATATATATATATATATATATATATTTTATATATATATATATATATATATATATATATATATATATATATATATGCTATATCTATGATTAATAGCACTCAATATTAAGGATAGAGCATATATATATATATATATATATATAAAAGTAGACAATGAGGTCAACACCAAGTAGGGACAGTCTGTTTCATACTTGAATGCAATCTTCAATTGAAGATTGCATTCATTCTTCTATTCATTCTCTATTTTTCACCCACAAACTTATACAAAATTCAGCTTGTTTTACAACATTGTTAAAAAAATATGGGAATATTTTGGTCTTGAATTACATATTGATTTAATTATTTCACTGATAAATAGAGCCAATTACATATTAATGCTCATAAATTATTAAATAGTGAACTTCATCTCTCAATATATTAAATTAGTCTGATCATATCCCTCTCTAATGGATAATAATACTCTCCCATGATGCTTAAATACTGCCCAATGTCTATAATTAATTCCAAATCAATTTCTATGGCATTAATGGAGAACAAATACAGTCAGACAATAATTCCACTCTTTGAAATTTAAATAAAATTACTTGACAATGAAATGGAAGTGAGCTGAACAAGTAAATATGAAACAAGATACGCAACAGTCACTGGATCTTGGCTTTTTGATGCTGATATGCGAATGCCACAGTTTATTTACCAAAATTCCTGAGGAAAATCAAATATTACAAGTTGGCTTAACTTCAGTAAGATGATATATCTCTTGGAGTTACCATATTTTACGTGGTTGTCCTATATTTATGGGTACACAGACTCAATTTTGTTTTAAGCTGAAGCAGTATGTAAGGAATGGAATCAGAACAAGACATTCTGTGCTGGAGAATCAAAGAAAGTCTATGTATTTTCGACTTGGGCAAAGTTTCAATCCATCTCAATCCCTGATGTTATTCTAGATCTTTGGTTGTATTCTGTTTTGTATCATGCAATCATTGTTTTTTACCATGGGTCGTTGTTTTAGCTATTTACATCATTCAGACTGTTGTCCTCATCTTTATTGCCATATTCATGACAATTCAACCATTGTACACTCCGGCCTTCTTCAGGTGATATTTTTTTTAAGCATTTCACCCCAAACAAGTTGGGAGTGCCACTAGCATGCAAGGGGTTACAGAGAGTGGAAACAAGAGTAAAGAGGCGTGATAGAGGAAAGGATGAAGAGAAGGACAGGGAATAGATTAAGGTGTCTGAAGATATTGATTGACATTGCATTTGAATAGTTGGAGATTATAGCTATCAGGGGAAACAAGAATGAGGAAGGTCATTCCACACACGGGAAGTGCGAGACATTAAGCTATTGGAGTAGAAGTGATGGCTGCATTTAACAGTTTTGACAGAAAGGGTGGGACTGAGATGCCAACTTAGTAGTATGCTTAAATTCATAGTTTGGGAACCAGCAAAAGTAGCCCATCAGAGCAGCCACTGTGAAAGTATTTGTAGAAAAGACAGAGGGAAGTGATGGCACATCTGTGAGAAAGTGACTGTAAATGAGATGTCAGAACAGAACCAATCACATTACATATGTGTTTCTGGATTTTGTTGAGGACCTTGAGATGAACAGCAGGGGTTCCAGACCATATATGACAGCAATATTTCATGCAAGGATGAATGGTTGATTTATAGATTTGAAGAATGAACTTTCTGGTGCAACACATAGAACCAACTTTCCTTGTGGTAGATGAAGCTATTGATTCAACGTATTTGTTTCGTCTCAGGTCAGTGGATAGTGTGAGACCAAGCAGGTGTAGAGATGTACTCTCATGGAGTTGAGCATCAGACATTTTAATAGGAGGCAGGGAGGGTTCTCTGGTGGGTAAATGAGAGCAGTTTTGTTTTTGAGACATTAAAGCTTACCAGCCATTTCTTTCTCCAGTCAACCACAGATTGGAGGTCCTTTTCAAGACCAATGGCCAGGTTAGTTTTGTCAGTGATACCAGATTTGCTATTGAGGCAGTAGTAAATAGTGGTGTCATCTGCATAGATACCTACTTGGGAATTGTATTACAAATTCACAATGTATAAAGTTATGACCCCCAGGTTTAAAAAAAGAAAAAGTAGGTTCACTTAGGAACACACAAACAGGTTCTGATGAATACAAGATTAACGTTTGTAAATAAATGTTATATAACAAAATACAGGAAATGTATGGAGTGAAAGACGTATAATTAATAAAAATACACTTAACTGATATTAGAGGTCAGTTCAAACATTTTTGTTTCAGGAATTAGGAGTTCAATGTTGCTGTAGAATATTCTTTCTTACATAATGGGAAATATAGAATTCAGGAATAATTCTTGTGTTCTGTTTCCCCTTGGTTACTTGGATTGCCTCCTAGATGAAAGTAAGATGTTTTCTTTGTATTTATTTGGGTACAATATTCCTTTATCCATTAAATAGTCAAATACATCCAAGATCTCTGGGATGAATTTTCCTTATTCCTTACACAACAAGTAATGGAATATGTTTGTGGGTGTATTTCTCGTCCCTTATGATGACATGATGAGAATCTATTTTTCTTGCAAACTCTTGTCATTGGAGGTCAACAGGAGACTAAAGACAATATCAAAATCTCAAATTTCCCTCTTGCTCCTCCCTGCAGAAACAAGACTCAGTTCAAATCGGAAGCAAAACAAAAAAAAGAGGAGGAGGAGAAGAAACATAAAGTGTGTTTCTTACTAACTTCGTTACACATCTGATTTAACAGTCAACACTGAGGGCCATGTCATAGTTGGAATTTCAAACTGAAACTTTTATTTAGACCATGGGAGTAATCTAAAAAAAGTGATTTGACCCAAGAAGTTATGAGTTCAATACCTGGTCACAGCAAGACTTGGAGAGTTGAAATACAAAAGGGAATTAACTGAAATTGAGATATCCCAAAAAAGGCATGACACATGGAATTAGAACACTCTAACCAATGAACTAAATAACGGTTTTGGTTTAAAATTCCAACGTATATCATCTAAAGAAGGACAGAGCATACAACAGCCAGAATGTTGTGAATAAGGCAATAAAGATGAGGACAACAGTCTGAATGATGTAAATAGTGTAAATAGTTACAATACCCCATTTCAGAAATCTTGACAGGTGTTATTTTGTATCACTGTGTATGTGTGTATCATTGTTTTGTATTATGGGGGGGGTTTTTGTATCATGGGGGGGATTGTTTTGTGAGAATATCATTTTGCTTGATTTTTCTATCTTGTATTTTTACACACAATGTGTACATATTTTTTTAAACATGTTTTGTGATGCAGTTTATTGCTCCAAATCAGTTTCCAAGGCCCTCTTTGAAACCTAAATAAAGCCAAACAACAAACTTTATTCTTTGGGTTTGTTCTTATGTTTTCTGTTTTTAGGATTTTTTTTTTTTTTTTTTTTTTAGTTTTTTCTTTCTTTTTACAGAAGATCTTTCTTTATTTCAGGATTTTTTCCAGGGTTTCTTTTTATGTTCAATGTTTTTGTGAATAAATTTAAAATTTTTTTCCTTCAGTAAACAAAAAAAAAAAAACTACAAATCTTTATTGTTGTTTTTTTATTATTTTTAGAAATCCTTGAAGTCCCTGTTCGTCCAAATGAGGCAAATGCAACTTCCAAAGCAAAACTTTTTTTTGATTCCTGCATGAACAAAAGTAAGTAACATTTTTACTTATTAAAAAGTTGATTTTATTTCTTCCTTTATAAGTGTGTGGATCTCTACTGATGATTCTAAAGACAAACATAGAGTGGGATGTGCCGTTATTCTTAATAATGCAACAATAAAAGAAGTCTCCCAAATGAACCTCCATATTTAGCCCAGAAACCTCCATACTTATTGCATAGAGCATTCTCGATGTGAACACCAAAGAAAAATTTTCAATATTTATCATCTCTTCCAATTTCATATCAGTATTAATGATGATCAAAATCAAAAAGCTGAAAAGCCCTTTGATAGTTAAAATATTTGGAAAAAATCCATGGTATCTCTACTTTAAAAACATTTTTGCATCTGGATTCCTAGCCATGTAGGAATTAAGGGTAAAATGATAGAGCAGTCAAAAGTTCTAAACAGGCATTAATACAAGATCCTGAAAATTACCAAATGCCATATACTTACCTAAAACCATTAATTAAGAAACACATGCAAAATCAATGGCGGCAAGAACACTGGAGTAAATAAAAAAAAAACACAAAATAAACGATATACAATATTACCAACCTTCAGGAAAAAAACCCTGCCATTATGGAAAATCATGAAGAGAAGAGGTTACTATAACATGATTATATATAGGTCACACTAAAATTATGCATTCATTCTTACTGAAACAAAAGCACCCACCTCCTCCTATCTTCTTGAACCCCACTCAGCTTTTATCCTTTCTTCAATCCCCCTATTCTTTTTATGTGCCATGTCTTTTCAGGGCAGAGGCGATCATGGATCTCCACTCCTCCCTCTATCCCTTGCAGCACTCAACAAGTTCCTTCCCTCTGCTTCCTCCCCCAGACCACGTTCTGTCATCCACTTGCTTAAAGCCGCTAGGTATGTCATGCATTGTTTTCCCTTGTCTCTCTTTCTCTCTATTCGACCCGTGAGTATAAGATTCTCCAGGCCCTCCTTCCTCATTATGTCCCAGAAACTTCAGCTGTCTCTTCCTGATATTAAGTATAAGCCTCCTGCTTGTTTGCAACCACTCTAAGACCTCATTGTTGCTCACATGCTCAGTTCATGATATCTTTAGCATCCTTCTGTAGAACCACATTTCTGTCGTCTCTAGTCTCTTCTTCTTCTTCTTTGAGGAAATCATCCAACACTTGCTGTGATAAAGAAGAACAGATGTCACGTAACAGTTGAGCATTCTTTTCTTTGTTACCAAAGAAATCCTCCTGTCTTGCAATACTCTGCCCAGCTGTTGGAATATGTCATTGGCCATCCCAATATGCCTACAGATCTCAGTGTCACACATACCATCCTCTATACCCAATCTTTTCTCTTACCTTCACTTTCTGTAACCCCCTGTATACTAGTGGCATTCCCACTTTGCTTGGGGTGAAATGAAAAGAAAAACATGTCAAACCCAATATATAGTAAAACATTTTCTAATTGAATGCTTTGCTTTGAAGAAATTCTGTCTTTTGGAGTCAAGATCAAACAGCCTAAAATAATCATTTGAAGATTTTAAAATAAATAGAATTATAACATTTCTGAAATCAGTTGAATTATATCTGAAAATATGAAAAACAAAAATTGTCCAATTTTCCTAAATATAAACCAAAATAAATCAGTTTTGGCATAAAATGACATTAAAAGAGTTGATATGCCATTAAAAATCCATTTAAACTTGTTATAATGGGGTGGTGGTTATATTACAAGTATCATGTCAAGAATATATTCTTACTATCAAATTTAAATGATACAAAAATGATTGGCTTTGAAATAATTTACCTAAACTTTTTTTTAATTCATTTGACTCATCAAAGGAATAAAACTAAAAAGAAGACCAACTGCAAAATTTATGAATTATGGTTCAATTGTCACAGGACAAAATGATTAATATTGGCTATAATAAAAAAGAAAATCAAAACCAAATATTGATTCCAGTTTCACGTTTTGCATAAACGTCATACTAACTGTAAATATTCAACTATTAAGTTGAATCATGAATTATTTTTCTTTATCAACTTTATTCTTCAAAAAAAGTAAAGTACAATTATCAATTTATTCAATTTAATATTTGCCATTATTTTTTTATTTTCTCTAAGACTTAGTATATCATAGATTGTGATGTGTTTATAACTTTTGATAATTCCCTGGGTACTTTGCTATGCATTGCTTTCAACTAATGTCTTAAGAGTTTCTTTATTAAAACCCAATGAACACTTCTGCCTTGGTTCATATCTTCCAACAACAATTTTCTAGAATGAAACTTTTTCAAATCAATTTCATTTCTTTTGGTCATTTACAACTCCTTGACAATTAACACAACAGACACTTTTCTCTAAATGTGTCTCCATAGTGTTATTCCCTTGTTTCAACTCTCTAAACATTGTGACATAAATGCGCTTTGAATCCTTTATCAAAGGTGTTAAGGTGTCACAGCTATGCAAAACGTAAAGTATGTTAGTGTACTTTACAATGATGTTCATCCTGTACATGGCCCAAGAGCCACTGAGGTAGAGGGTTACAGAGGAAGAGGCACCACCCCAAGCAAAGTGATAATCCCACTAAGATGATAGGAGACAGTGGAAGTGAAAGAGAAGGAAAAGACTTAATAAGGAACTAGAAATACAATAGTAAACAAGAAATAAGGGATAAACCTCTACTCCTGTTTGGATGATACATTAGGGCAGGTCAATTTTGGAACCATGGTATTGCACTCAATGTGAAAGTTGGGATTCACACGATAAATAATGACACAAAATATTTTTTCTAAATTATTATTAAATTTTGAGGAAAAACTAGTTTACAGATTAAGTTTCAGTTTAAAATTGTAGTGTTGGAATTTCATTTCAGTGATCAGTGAAAGCCTTATAGCACAGACTTATAAAATTTATAATTTATTGAAGCTTTACAAATTGACAAAAGCACATTATTATTAAATCATTGTGCCATCAAATAAGGCCTTCATTTACTTCAAAGGGAAATTATACTGAACAATTTAGCTATATTATCATGTAATGTGTTATACAGTTGTTATAGTGGAACACACCGATTCTATAGTAAATAGACTCTCCCACCTATAATAAGTAGGAGTAGTAAGAGTAACAAGGAGTCGCTCAGTGAGTTGGTCAATCAGTCGATGCTGGACGACCGTTAGTTGGATACTAAAATATCAGCGACCACAACTAGATTTCTCTGCGTCATTACCTATTATATCAAGTTCCTAATGTTTTGTATGTCAAACTATTTTTAGGACCGACTTAGTACAACTACAAGCCTCCGCTGGGAAACTACTCCATAACAACAGTGTTATAGTTTTAATGTGATTTTCAATAAACAATGCAAATTTTAAACATTTTATCTTATAATTTGTGCCTAGCTGTATTATGGTGTTATATATACTTTTTTATTTTTTGTTTTTATTAATTATGATCAAATCTTATTCACTAAGTAACCTTTCTTGTAATCTTTTATCATTTTTTTTACACAGTTTTTACTTATTGAATAAAATAAAAATTTGCATATTTTGCATGTGCTGAGTCATTATTAGAATTCTGGTTTCAATATATTTTCCATTGAATGTATCTAATACTAAAGATATTAACTTTATTTGGATTTATTCTTGAAATAATAAAATTTGAAGTCAGTTTGAAAGCAAAAATCTGCAGAAATTAGGTATTTCTCTACATTTTTTTTCAGATGATATTTAAAAGTAAATACTTAGATATAGGTGAAAGCTATGAATCTGATTCTTGGTGTCAGATCCCATCAAATCCCAGCTTTCGCATTGAGTGCAATGTTGATTTTCAACAAAAAGTGAAAAATCAACCTGTCCTAATGATACATTCGACATTAAAACTGGTTTTCCAAAACGGAAATCTCTTCTTTTGGAATTGAGGAAATATCAAATTAAACTTGAATTGTTATTTTTGTTTGTTATTTAGAACCTCTTCAATGATAATTAATTTTTTTGGTATGTCACTTACTTTGCAAAAGTGAATATTGTAAAAGTTAGTAAATTTAAGCACATACTATTTTGGGTTAGACGCAAAAATGGCAAGTATTACTTAAAAAAAATTAAGCTTTGTAAATAAGTATGTGAATCAATAACAAACAAAGGTTACAAAAGTGAAATGAATTTCTAAAATGATGCTCATCTTCAAATAGGTGACACTATAGAAGAAAGAAATTTACATAAATTATAACAGGAAATTTCAGGAAATTCTATTGCCTGTATTAAGAGAATCTATTTTTACAATTCAAATTTCTTCAAGTTCTGGGTCATTTAGATCAAAGTCTTCAAACAACTCTTTGATGTGATCAGATGACCTTACAAAGTGAAGGTCTTTCATCCAAGTATTCATATTTATTGGTTGTTGCCAAAATTAAACAAGTTGGCTGGTGAAGTCACTTGTAGTAATCTGATTCAGAGCAGTCTGTTTACTACCAATCACTGATCTGACAAGTAAACTATATTGCAAAACCCTAGCAACTGCTGATTGAAGCTACTTCAAAGTATTTTTTTAATTTTCAGTGGTTAAGCCCTTGTTTTCCCCTTTTTAGAAACTGACCAAATCACTAAAATTATAATAAAACCATTTTTTTTTTGTACCCTTTAAAACCTTATAGCTTGGTGGTGGTGGTAGCTGCTACTGCTCTTGTTGTTGTAATAATAATAATCCTCCATTCCAGTCTTATGATTCTGTTTAGACTGGACAAATTGTATAAATTAAGTTTTATATGAGAAAGTGTTGCTGATATAAAAATGCTTTAATTGCATTAAATAAAGTAGCTTTCTTGTTTAAAAGAAGAAAACAGTTTCTTTTTTTTTACTTTTGTTAAAAACCAGATTGAAATCAAAAAGTTAATTCTGTAATTAAAATTTAATAAATGTAAGGCTTAATAATCTATAAATGACATTTAAAATTAGAAAATTTAATCTTCAATGTTGTGAAAATCTATTTTTAGTCAACCAAGAGAAAGACAGAATCCATT